AGTTTTCTTGTTATTTCGAATGACTTTTCGGATATTTCGCAGTCATCATCTAATTTATCTTCATCGACTGCTTCTGATGAGGCTACTAAATGACGATTTGTTAAATTTTTATTAACTAATAAAAAATGCCTACCACACATTTTCATGAATGCAGTAATTATCTTTTTACGATAATATGATTCATACTCTTCGGCATTTTCATTTCTTATATCGAAAGAAAAGCTGCTTGACATTAAGAAAAACAATAATAAGACAGTTAGCAAATTCAAAACGATTATACAAAAAAGAAACAAATCTAAAAAAAACACAACCCCGTCAGACTATAAGAAATTCGGTGGACTTTTAGATATTGACAAAGGCTTTTAGTTTACTGTCGAAGGAAGAACGAAGAGTGATGAAGGCAAGAATTCATCATTGACTGGCTTGTATAATCAAAAGACTCGTGTTCCTGATCGCAGACAATATACATCAATTAAAATGTTTTTATTAGAGATTGTGAAATTTGCTTTTGAATGATGAATTCTTTAAAGTTTTGAACCAATAATATATGTCGGAGTTGAGATTAAAATCCAGTTGAGTTTAGAACTGAATTAGTGCAGATCGAAATTTTAATAAAAACTAGGTGAAATCAGAATTTAAGTTTTAATTTAATTAAAATTAATTAATTTAATTTAAAATTTCGATCTGCACTAATTCAGTTTTAAACTCAACTGGATTTTAATCTGAACTCCGACATATACATACATACATTTAATTTGAAAAACAATCATATTTATCATAGAAAATGGAGATAAAAAAGACATCAAAAGCGAACCAGTGAGATTATTATTAGAAAAGTAGCATATAAGATGTCCCTTTTCTACACAAGTCGTCACATGTGCGGGCATTGCCACACATTTGCCGTCATTCTTACAATCCATTATATAGTTTTCTTCAGCTTTCCATGTCGTATCTAAGAACGTTGCAGAGGTGCAGAATATGGCTATTCGCTCCAACGAAAATTTGCTAGTTTCACAGAGATATTCTGCACCTTTGGCATGTTCCTAGCTTTCATTCTTTCATCAGATATACTTGGTGTACAATCACGTTTAAATAGTATCAGAAAAGTATTTGCCGCATTGGTCTTCACTACAAATGCGAGCATATGTGGAGAGAGATATCTTCTTATTTCCAGATTCTCTATTTTATCAAAATTTAAAATCACAAGTAGAAAAAAGAATTTATACAACAGACTTGGTCTTTGTCCACGCGAAGCGATCGCGCAGCATTTATTGATGATAATACTATAAGAGAATGATGTGTAAGTCTGTCGCGTAAATCGACACATATTACGAACAACGATGATATCGTAACAATCAGTTTGAGTTTTATTCCAAAACTTTAACAAACAGATAAAATTCTTTGAATGAGCAGTTGGAAATAAAGTTTTAAATATAAAGTATAATACTGCTATGAAAATCATAATAAAATTCTTCTGAATTTATTTAAACACTCGAGCTTAGAACGGTAGCGGTAGTACCGTCGCCGGCTTTACCGCTACCGTAAATTCTAAAGAATAACCAAAACCTTTCTTACTGCGACATGATTGTAGACTGCAAATTTCTGATTAAAGTGAGACATCTCCCAGCTCTACATAACCCTTTCTTTGCAAAGTTATAGAATTCACAAGAAAAGCCCTAAATTAATTTCTTCTTATTTCTGTAGTTTGGGGCTGACAATGAACATTTAGAGCTTTTCTTGTAAATTCTATGAGTTTGAAAATAAAGGTCGTGTAGAGCCGGGAGATGCCTCATTTTAATCAGGAATTTGCGGGCTATAATCATGCCTCATTAAGATAGGTTTCGGTTATCCTTTGGGCGATGGTTTTGGGTGATGTTCATTCCGAAGGCTCGACTCCTAAAACATCCGCCAGCTTTGCTTAGCCCGGTACAACACAGATACCGAAAACTTCTCTTAGTTGTAAATTATCCGGCACTTTCGTAAGTTTTTCTGAGTCTAAGGAAGGAGTTTCTGATAAAATATATGAGTGCACCGAAAAGGATAGTATTGATAAATTTGGAAAGTTTGGTAACTATTTGAGACACCTGTGTAACGGCAAACATACATTACTTTCTGAACGGCAGTGCCTTTTCGATACAGCCGCAATAATTTATAAAGTCAAGCTTGAAAAATTGAAAACCGAGGGGTCTGTTCACTAATGTTGGAAATTTCACGCACAAGTGCAGTTCACTAAGGCAAACAATTTCGTACTTTAACCGAAGGATGGAGACTGGCACCCAATAGAAAAATACACATTATAGTGAAAAACAAATCAAATATCTCATTGAGAGATTTGAAGAAGCATTAATAAAAGAGAACTGAATTCAATGGAAGCCGGAAGCAGTTGCCACTCATATGAGAGATTACACAGTTTCCGGCAAATTCTGTTTTTCGCCTTAAGAGTTTTTAAAAGTTTCGTAGATACCGTCATTCTTCTCTCAGTTGAGTGCGAAACGGAAAAACCTCCAAACTTGAGGAAAATGAAAATGAGGACGAGGAATGTTTGGACGAAGAATTTGATGAGTAGTCAATCGTGATTTGATGAGGAGTCTGGAAAAAAAAGTTGTATATAACCCGTTTCTTTGCTTTTTGTCATTCACTCTTGAAAATGATCTAACTTCTGATCAAAAGCTCTAGGGTTTAAATAATTTCAGAAGAATTTTATTAAAATGTTTTCCATAGCAGCATTATACAGGGGGCACTCCAAAAGTTTTTTCCAAAGGCCTTTTTGACTAACATTCAAAGACTGGATCTAATGTAGTTTTTCAAAGTACTGTCCATCAGCATCAATGCATTTGTGCATTCGGATAAACCAGTCATCAAAGCAGTTTTTGAAATCATCCTTTGTGAGGCTGCCAATGGCTTGTTCTAACGCATTCAGCATTGCATTGTCGTCGTCGAATCGAATTCCACGTAGTTGATTTTTGAGTTTTGCAAACAAAAAGAAGTCACACGGACTTAGATCTGGAGAATACGGTGGATTTCGATATGGTTCAACACGATTTTCGGCCAGAAATTCGTTAACAATTCCGGCTCTATGCGGCCTCGCGTTATCATCATGCAAAATGAGACCATGAAGACCAGTCTTTTGTCGCCATTGCGATACTGTTTCGAAGACTTGTGGTAGAGAGCTATCGATATACCATCTCTTTGTTACCGTTTCATCACGTTCTAATGGTATGGACTTGATTAAACCGGATTTCATGAAGAAAATCGTCACCATTCGCTTGCCTAAACTTTGGTTGGTCGCGGATCAGCTTGTGACACCCAAACTTTTGATTGTTGTTTTGTTGTTGGATCATAATGATAGAACCATGATTCGTCACCAGTTATAATGTCGAATACACTACGGGATTGACCTCTTTCAAATCTCTCAAGTGAATCTAGATAAAATTGAATACGGAACTGTTTTTGGTCATCGGTGAGTTGATGAGGAACCCATCGAGTACAAATCTTGTGCAACTTTAAATATTCATGAATAATTGAATTGACCGCTGACGAACCAATGCCCAGGGTGTGTTCAGTTTGTTCGTATGTTGAATGAGGATCATCTATCATTCGTGTGGCAAATAGCCATATTTGTTATAATTTTTGGATTCAAGCTATTTCAAAATGAAAGGAAAAACTCTCACTCAAAACGCATTCTTAATGTCGTTCGCAGAAATGTCATGGGAGGTATTATCGTTCGCAGAAATGTCGTTTTCCGTACACTGAACTACCGTTTTTGCTAACGACATTTCCGGGGTACTTCCATTCAGGTCCGCCCACCATTACATAACCAGAAACAAAAACATTCTACCCTGTAGTTTTTGTACTGTGCCCAATCAGTCATCTACGTGTTTCGAAATTTCGTTTTAACGCGGTTTTAGCTTCAAAATATCTCACGAAACTCTGTTTACGAAAAATTGCACGAAAAAAAAAGCGCTAAAATCGCGTTTGACGTAATCATAGGTTGTGTTAAACGCGCTAAATGTTTCGTAAACAGAGTTTCGCGCGATACTTTACAGCTAAACTCGCGTTTTTTCGTGCTTTTTTTACAAAATTCGTTTTCTCGCGGTTCTTGAGCCAATCTCCCGTTTGTCGCGTTGCATTGCGTTGCAAACGCGTTTTTCACTCATTATTTGTTATAGAAATGCCTAATTTTGCGACTTCAGTCTACGGAACGAGTTTTACGTGTGGAACATCTATCTAAAAAGTGAAACGCATTTTCTAAATTTCATTCTAGCCAAAACCCGTTAAATTTGTTTGAGTTGAGTCAGAAACGCGAAAAATTCGGTGGCGTTCGCGAGTCTTAAAGTCTGTTGCGACTGAAAACGCGTTTTTAAAAAGTTATAATGGTTATAAACGTGTTTCTCGCGAATAATTAATGGCAAAAACGCGGTTTTGTTTGAGGCATATATTTAAAGCCTCAAGAAATTTGCCGTATTCATGGTGAAACTGTGTATTCTCGCGCTCTATGAATGTTAAAACCGCGTTAAAACGAATTTTCAAAACTTATAGGTGACTGACTGTGTGGAACTTTAAAGTTGACTGTTTTGAAAAAGGAGTCTTCAAAGACGGACTTCGTACTAAGAGAAGAAAGTAGATATCGACCTTATTCTTTTTTCATTGGATTAACGAGCTCTTTAGCTTCATTTTTATCTTAGTATCTATAGTAAGGACACTTTCTTTTGTTTTGCCTTCAGAAGAAGTGAAATACTGAGCGCCATTTTTTCATTTTCGCCCATTTTGTGACAGCTGGTCTGCCCTTGTAAAAGGACTAGGACAAGTTTTAAGTATCAACACTTATACTACTCGAGCTGCGCATTCATATAGTGTATTAAACGTCAATGTTAACTCTATTGATGTAGAGAAAAACAAGATCAAAGTTGCTTCATTGTAAAAGAGGGCGAAACTTGACATCTCCGAAAAGGCTTGAAGAATATGACTGTTTTAGCAAACAAAGATGGGATTCTATGTAATCTTTTATGCTCCACACGAGAAGAGTCTCGAAATTTTTTCGGCTATTATGCCTGTATAAACTGGGCGGACCTAAATGGAAGTACTTACCGTGTAATGAGCGAACTAGATGATTTATTCTTTTCGAAAGTATGATTTCGTGTTATCACATCACAATCGAATTTTGGTGAATTGTCAGACAGCTTGGGTATATATGAAAAACCTGTTAATGAATCACGTACTAGCATAGTATCCAACTTAAACAGTTACAATATCAAACTACAATCAGCAGCCGTTGGAATCACCTTCTTTGTCTTCTTAACAACAAAACCTTACTTCACTATTAGATGACTTCTCATTGATGTCAATAACGCAGGTTTTTCAGTCAAACTTTTCGATTACTAAATGTTTCTTTCTTGCCCAAAGAACAGCTTGATCAAGATGTCATGCATTTTTTTCTTGTTAAGAGCCTGAGAAAGCTCTTCCGCCTTATGATGACGTTCTCTCAATTCACAAAGAATAAACCGTCATTATCTAATGGAAAACCATTTGACGGCTGACAGTATTTGTTACAATAAAATTTATAAGGCGAAACGTAGCCATGGAAGACAACATCACAAAGGTAGATAATATTTTCTGATGATTTTACCAGTATAACAGGTTTTCTTTATTTTCAGTTTTATTTCAATTTTTAAGGGCTCCGAAAAGGGCACGATCAAATGAATTATCTAGTAAACAAGAACTTTCTATTGGAAGTCCTTCAGCTGATGGTTCTTGAGTTGATGGTATATTCCTGTTGACAAATGTTCATGTGCCATTACAAACAATAAAACCATGAAGTCATTCTCTTGCTACATCACTCGATAAAGGTGAATATGGTCTCAAATGGATTTTACGTTTTACACGTGGCTAACCATGCTCAAATATTTTAGTGAGTGTTTTATCAGTAACAAACACAAACACACCGTCTGGAATTAAACAATTCAAGTTTCAAGCAGCCGCACCAAAGGCAGAAGACGTTAGAAGCAAAAGCAGTTGGCATATATTCGCTCTCATACTTATGTTTAGACCGTGCGTGTTAAACTACAAACTGCGTCCCCCTCAGATTTACCTGCTCATAATCCAATATTAGTAAGTATCAACGAGCTTGATAGGCGATGTTATCTTTGCTTGTCCTCCGTCTTCAGTACTATCATGAGAAAAAGGATGGTGCTTATTTTTCCATATATGTTTTCAGGATAATTAGTTTACGTTACAAAACAGCAAGCAACGATGATATGTGTGTTGTATCCAGCGACTTAGATCAATTCCCGTCGATTGATTTCCTGTAATTTTTCAGTTTCTTTTATTCTTTTTATCTACAATATATTCTACGGTGATTATTCTTAAAGAAGGAATTACTCGTTAGCGAGTTATTTGTGAAACAGTGGAGTGGAATAAATCAAAAAAATTTTGAGATTGAAGTATCTAGATGGAGTTGCTACGAATCACTTTTCGATACAAATGCGCTTTTATTCTCATATAGTATTGTCTAGTGACAGAGATAAGTCTGGATAATAGTCGTAATGAATCTCAGTTTACTTGTTGAATTGTCAGATTCATACAACTGTTGCTTCGACGTTTGTTTTCCAATTCATAATAAAGCAAAAATTCATTTATTCATCTCTCTACATGTCATCTAGTGCAATTTATATTTTAGAAATTTGTATACGTATTTTCGTTCGCTGTTATGTGCTTTTGGATGATTTATGAAAGAAAATAATATTATCTGTTTTGAAAACACAAACGATTCTTTCAGTCACACTGTTCTCCCAGTTATTCAGCCGAATTGGATAGTGTTTTTATTTTCAACAGGGTATAGCCTATACATTCCACCGTCAGTGCCTGATATTTTCTTTTGTGCTTTATAATAGTCCGTGGGCTCGAAACCATGAATCTTTTTTTATTTTTAAGAATAAAACATGGATAACCTGCGAATGCATTAGTTTTTCAAAGTTACAAAGATGCATTAAACGAGAAGATTCAATCAAGAAAAATTATTAAATAATAAATAATTTTTACGGTTAAAATATTGAGAAGATTTCTTTCCATTTTGTCTGTAACTATCGAAAACACCGCTGTCGGGGTTCAGAATCCGAAAGTGGTTGACGAAAAAACGCTGGTATCCTTGGCAATTCCCTTACTCCTTATTCTATCATTTCGCTGTGTGGACACCTATTTTTTTTTTTGTAAAACAATCCGAAAGGTATTTTACACTTTTTTAGAAGACCCATCTTTCATTCTAAAAATAATATTTATTTCCGGTTACGTTCATCTTTGCATAAGGTCGCTTTTTCATTGATTCCAAAGTGCATTTAAAAATAAAATCACTTTTTTGAACAGTAATTTTTCACCGGCCCACAGACTATAAGACAAACCTGCGAACTGTAATGTGCAATGTGGACTATAGTTTTGTTCTAAATGGAAGAAGAGAATTCAGTGTATCTATTAAATCTCTGTTTTAACGCGACGATACGTTCTCTAAAGTAAAAAAAAAAGATTTAGATTTTTGTAACTATATGCATAAGAATAATGTTTTGTCAACCCTTCTACACAATAAGTCACTCAGTCACACTTATTTAAAACTTTATTGATAACTCGATCATTTCTCTTAACATTTTCGTATTTTAGATACTATAATAATATTAACTATGTCGTTAATTAAGAATGTATTAATTTTATCATTATTAATCATTATGTAAGTACATTAGTGTTAGTTAAGTTAACGTTCGCTTCTTTTGACATGATACATATAAAGTTTTGGTTGTCGTTATTCTTTGGAAGAGAAATAGGAATTTAAGAAATTTAAAAGTACTGATTAAGGACTAATTAACATTATTTACGGGGGAAAAGCATTTCTCAGAATTATGTAGTAAAGCGCTGCAAATAATACATTCAGTTTATTGTTCCCGAAGGTTAACAAATAAAAGTACAGGTATTTTCCTTAATTTTTTTTTTGCCATTTAAAATCAATTGCACAAAGGAGATCACTTCTTTAATACAGTACAGCTTTTACAAAGGTCATCAATTTTCTCTACGCATTCACAATTAATTCCCTTTGCCTTTAAGAGTCAGCATCAGGATATTCATCAGGGTGTTTTTGAAATCTAATCCAGTATTTGTAATGATAATCTCTCAGAGAAATTCTCTACTGAGCGCTAAAGTTGTAAAGTCTTCATACCCCCAAAGATCATATGCCAACCGCTGACCTGTCAGGTAAACATGTTCAATTTTTTCTCTCTGCTCTTTCAGTGAAGTAAAACCTTGTGCAGAAGAGCCAGATAAAATGAGAAAGAGTAAATGCGCAAAACGACTTTCTACGGATTTTATTTCATTTTTCGGTATTGTGTGGAAGATCTTTCTTAGAGCGCAATAAGAGTTTCTCACTTTCTTCGATCTACTCTCAATGTGTTTGCTCCACCCTAATTTCGGTTCTATTTCTACTCCTAAACACTTAGATAAGGTTACATACTCTATTTTAACATTCTTATACTTAATCTCAGGTTTTCTAACAGCGTGAACTATCATTGCTTTTGTTTTTGATACATTCACTGGCAAGATGTGGTCGTCTGAAAACCTTT